CAATAAGCAAAGCTGATTTTGCCATGTGCCGAGCACTATGACGATGTGTAGGCATATGCTATAGCCCCTTTCCATTTCACACATTATCAGGCTGTCTCTAGTACCTGTTTGAGCTGTCTGCCATTTTATTATGGGGGACATCAAAAACCAAGCTGACTGGTCCTGAACCAGTGTTTGACAGCTGTGATGGGCTGGTTGAGGGCTAACAAACCGAAGCTTAATCCAGACAAGACAGAGGTCCTCCTGGTCAGTTGGTAGGCCTATTGGGGCATAAGGTGGCAACCTGTACTCGATGGGGTAATACTCCCCCTAAGGACAATCCTCCTGGACTCAGCACTGACCCTGGAAACTCAGGTGTCAGCTGGGAGGGCTTTCGCACAATTAAAGCTTGTGTGCCAACTGTGCCCGTACCTTGAAAAGCAAGATCTGGCCACTGTGGTCTATGCCTTTGTTACATCTCAGATGGATTATGCAATGCATTGTACATGGGTTGCCTCTGAAGACAGCTCGGGAACTACTATTAGTTCAAAGATCAGCGGCCAGGCTTTTAACAGGAGCTAATTACAGGGAACATACCACCCCCTTTGTTAAAAGAGCTCAAGTGGCTGCCTATGTGTTTCCGGACCCAATTCAAAGCGCAGGTTATTACCTACCAAGCCCTACTTAGGTCCTGCCTATTTACACTACCATGTCTCCCCCTATAAACCTGTTCAGGTTTTAAGATTGGCCGGGGAGGCCATTTTCACGGTCCCACCCCCGTCAGAAGTGCCAATGGTGGGGATGAGGGAGAGGGCCTTTTTTGTAGTGCCCTACCCGCTGGCTCTGGACGCCCTTCCTAGGGAGTTTAAGCAGGCTCCCACGCTATTGATCTTTAGGCAGGAACTGAAAACCTGACTATGGAACAGGCCTTTGAAAATGGCTAAACGTATTGTTATCTAATGGATGGAGAATTAAATGGGAAAATTTTAACTGGCTCTAACTAGAACAGTGGTTGGGATGTTTTAATGATAGTATTGCATAAGTATTGTTTATTTTATTTATGGATGATGTCTTGTTTTGTTTTAATTGTCCATGTATTTTGCTTTGATATTGTTTGTTTACTTAATTTTTAAATTTTTTATATGTTTATTATCATTTATTCTGTTTATACTGTTATATTGTTGTAAGCTGCTCCGAATCCTCTTGGGGAGAGGGGGTGGTATTCAAATAAGGTTCTGATTATTATTATTAATTATTATTATTAATTATTATTATCTCATTTTATATAATGGGACAAGTATCCACATATTTGGGTATCCACAAGGAGTACTGGAACCAAACCCCAGCAGATACTGAGAACCATCTGTATGTCTTCACTGAGAAATTAGATAGTGTGAGGAATGTACAGCATCTATCTTGTTATCAAAGCTGTGCAGACTCCATCAGCAATAGCTCTGACTTTGATTATGAATCCCTAGTCAAACAATAAGATTTAATGCCTTTATCTTCTCTCTCTCTCTCTCTCTCTCTCTCTCTCTCACACACACACACACACACACAAATGTCTGGTGGCACTGGCAGTCCATTATCAGAGTAGAGGAGATTGGTTGTTCTGCCATTGTGGGATAAGTCATCCCATACCCTTGTTTAGATGTCAGGCTACTGGAAGCTGTTGGGTTGAGCCCACCCACATATGTTTTGTAAACAGTTTTATTTTTGTTAAACTTAAAGTCTTTTGCCAAACAATAAGGTATGACTTGGAAGTTGGTGGTTGCATTCATCTACACAGGGTGTGTGCTTTTGCTCTTCATTCCTAATAAGACCAGAGGGGTATTTAAGTAAAAAACATAATGTAAGCAAAGAAAAACCATCAGGAAATTTCATGACAACTAAACATTTTAATTGTCCTTCTAAATAATAGTGATGATGATGAAGATGTGCTCATGAAGATGACGATCATAGTAGTGATAAATATGAAGAGACATGCCAGAATGCAAGAGTGCCTTCTCTTTCATTGCCCCATAGCTATTTTCTCTGCTCTGGGACAGACAAAGAGGAGAGTGGCAACAGTGGAAGGCACCTGTTGAGGCATTGGAGGCATTTGTTTGCGCTGTTTACAACTGTTCTTAGCCTCTTTCACTCTAGCCAAAGGGATGCTCACACATAGCTAGGAAGAATTCATCAAAATAGCTGCCCATCAGGTCTGCTCAATGCATGCAAAATAAGCTGAGTGGAGTCATATAGCCATTATTTTAGCTTGCAATTCCTGTGATTCTGCAGATCATGTCATGTAGGAAAAACTAGTGATTTATTGAGACCCTAGAAGGCTACCACAGATTGTTGGTGGGATGTGTTTAACTTGCTGGGTAACAAATTGTGCAGCCCTCATTTATGTAGTCTTAAGGGGAAGCAAGAAGTAGATGTAAAATTTATTTTCACTGCAGGAAACTGCTCCCAATGAGATCAGTATCAGTTAAATATATGGGCTATCACTGGTCAGATAGGATAGATTAAATCCCTGTCTTTGAATAATCATTAAAAAAACCTCCTTAAGTAGGTGCCAACTTATTATAAACTAGCGAAATGGACTCCAAGACTCAGGATGTGCTGCCACCTGAATGTAACCCATATGCAGGAGCATTATTATTCTGAGCAGCACTTGGGAGAGAACAATCAAGCAGACAGTAGAGTTAACGGGGAAAATGCAAAAAGCAATTAATGAGGACTGAGCAAGTGTTTCTGTGAATGGTCTAGCAGTGGCCTGTAGTGTTATGATAAACTGTGAACATTTAAGCAACAAAGTCTTCTGCAAAGAATTGTTTGTCCCCTCATACTGCATGGCAGCACTGATACCATTTAGAAGTTCACTTTATTATTAGAAGTTGATAATGAGAAAAGAGGGAAATTTTCATTTGCCTAACTCAAAACAACTTTCTGCACTGAGCTGAACTAAGGTCTGCTGTGCCAAGATAAAATAAGGGATATGCCGAGGAAAATTTCTTCTTCACTGGATTCACAATTACCAGTTATATATTTGAAAGGAGCGGAATTAATACAGGTTGAATATGCATGTACACAATAAACAATTTAATAATGCAATGGCCCTGGTCCCAGGGAGGTTGCCAAATACATTCTGATAATTTTTTTGTTAAAAGACAAATAGTAAAAAAGACTAGTACAGTATGTCAGGAAGAGTTTGGTTAATGGTGCTGGTTTCGACAATAGCATTAAAACTAAGAGTACATACCAAGTGATTATGTTAACCCATATCTCTGCAACCACAGATTGTCCTTTCATATCACTTTCCAGCTTGCCTGCCTGTCAGGTAAGAAGCCAATGTGATAAAGAAAGGCTGTTATGAGCAGCAAGGAATGTGATTAACATCACACTCACCTATGGGGGAATTTTAAATTTTATCACTGGGAAAGTCAGAAATGTGGCCAATACCATGCCTTAAGATCGAAAATAAAACAAGAACATAAAATGCAATAAGGACTGGATCACTGCATTTTCCTCCTCAGGGGTGGGCTAAGGCGTCAGACTTTGAAGGGCAACTGCCTCCAATTTTAAATCTTTTTATTCCAATTCTTCCTCATTTAAGTGGCATTGAGGACCATTTTGCCATCTTTCGGATGCCCTGGCCTGTTTTAAGCTCAGGAGAGTTTTTTTTCTGAAGAGGAAAGTAAATTGGAAGTCATTTCTAATTTTACAAAATGTTTCCTTGCCCCACGTGCCTGGAAGAAAATGATAATTCCTGCCATATCCACTGGGATCAGATACAATAGTTTAAACTAATTTTCTAAAAGCCAAAATTTTGGGATGGGGCTTTATGAGCTGTATGTGCCCCCATGGACTGCCCCTTCCTTACTTCAGGAATAGCTAGATCAATAACACATAGATTAAAAGCTTCCAATTTTTTTCAATGTATGATAGATGGAATTCGTTCTCCTTTCCCACTGAAGCTCATTGAAATGAATAGGAATAGTTTCCCCCATAAAAGCTTAGTGAAATTAACAGGAATTGGTTAGTAAAACCCAAGCTTGTCTCTGAGTGTCTCAAATAATAATAATAATAATAATAATAATAATAATAATAATAATAATAATAATAATAATAATACAAAGTATGGATCGTCAATGTTGCAATCCCAGGTGATAGCAGGATTGAAGAGAAACAACTGGAAAAGCTGACACGATATGAGTATTTAAAGATCGAACTGCGAAGACTCCGGCACAAGCCAGTAAAGGTGGTCCTAGTGGTGATTGGCACACTGGGTGCAGTGCCTAAAGACCTTGGCCTGCACTTAAACACAATCAGCGCTGACAAAATTACCATGTGCCAGCTGCAGAAGGCCACCTTACTGGGAGATGTATGCATTATTTGCTGATACATCACACAGTCCTAGACACTAGGGAAGTGTCTGACGTGTGATAGAATAATAGAATCAAAGAGTTGGAAGAGACCTCATGGGCCACCCAGTCCAACCCCTTGCCAAGAAGCAGGAATATTGCACTCAAATCACCCCTGACAGATGGTCATCCAGCCTCTGTTTAAAAGCTTCCAAATACAACAGCCAGCAGAGTGATCTTGTCTGCTGTGGACTCATCTTGTTGTGTTTCAAATAATAATAAAATTTTAATTCTAGACTGCCCTCTCTCCCTGAGGGGACTCAGGGTGGTTTACACATAAAAAGGGCAAATATTCAATGTCCAAACAAATGCAAGAAAATAATACAGTAATACAAGGTAATCAAGAAAAAAAATAATAGTAAACTTATCGCATTAAGGAATTTACATCCAAGTATCAGGACAGGAAGGAAACAAAATTGTTGTGTGTTAAAAATTCTTGAATTCTTGAATTGTTAATTTATATTAGTGCAATATTGTTTCAAGGAAGATGTTTTGGATTTCTAGTGCAATGGAAATATTTGGGCAATGGAAAGTTTGGAAACCAATCTGATGAAGAAACCATAAATTCATCCAAGAGGCCTGCTGGAGCCACAAATACAAATGCATTCTTACCCTTGACCTTTCTTCCAATTTGGTCATCATGACAACAGTTGCACCCCTTTGTTCCCACATCATTCTCCAGAAATCCCCAAAGGTTTCAGGGAGAGATCCTTGCGTTGCTATATAGGCGTTCTGTTTCCTGTAACCATCTATGTAGTTAGAATTTATGTAATCGCTGCCAGGTATGCCTAGAAAGCAAAGAAAGATATATCTTAAGAGTTTACACTGCTTTATCTTAATGTGCTGAGCAACAAGAAAAATAATATTTCAATCCTACAAAATGTATATGTTTCTTCCTTAGTATTTTGAATGGTAGTTATCTACATTAGTATGATATTTCCACCTATTTCATTGCAAAAATATCACTTGTAACCCAACCTTACAATAAATCAATGAAATCTTAACATTATTTACATTATGTTATGCTAATTTGCTTGGTTGTGTATATCACATAAACTATAGCCTCTACTTGTTTTGCTTATTGGTCTGTAGTAAAGAGGAAGGCCTTCTTAATAGTCTAAAGAAGGGACCTCTCTCTGTCTTCCCCAAACCGGTCACAGAGGTTTGCAACCATTTCTTTATTGATATCCTGCCTTTCTCTCAGACTGTGACTCAGTTTCTGAGCCCTCCAGAACTTGTTTGGGGGTCACAAAAGGTGGCACTAGGGAGAGGGAATTGCCCTTCCGCGCACCACTGGAATCTAGCATTCCCCACCAGTGGAAATTCACCATTGGATCTTGCCCATTACAAGGTAATAAGAAATATTTCAGTGGCTAGAACTATTGATTTTTCCGTTTTTAATAGCGATGACAGTGACCAAATACATTTCTTAAAATATTAGCATATAGTTAATATTAACTTTTACCTAAGTTAAATACTGTAAAGTATCTGTTCTTTGGTAACTCATAGAATTACGAGCAAAGTACATTAACATTTATAATTTTAATTTTAAACATCTCAATTTAAACATGCCTTTTCCCTGATTATCCCCCTCTCCCCTAAAAAACCTTAAAGTCTCAAATGTTTTAGCCCTTTTTAAATGAAGACAGAACCACTCATTTTCTCTTTTCTTCAGAATGCTATACAGAATTCCAATTTAGTCACAATATAGATTTGCTTAAGGGTATTATGATAAAAGCTATTTTACTTTCAATCTGTTTCCTAATAGTCCCTAAAATGGAATTTTCCTTTACTTCTATTTGCTTCCTGTTCATCATCATCACTATCATTGATCCGTAGGCAGAATCATTTTTCTTCCGCAAGAAATTATTTCATTCCTAAATTCTTGTTGGAGGATTTTGGTGAAAGTTTTTAGAAGTCAATGAATACTCTATCTTCATGCCTCATTTATTTAATTGACTGAGATTTAATGGATTTATTAATCAATTTATCAAAAATATTTATGTATTGGTTTTCACGCCACCAGCATTGTCAAAATGATACACAGTTACATAAAACCAATAAAAACAAAAACAAAGTAAAGACAAACACAATGCAATGCAAAATTTTAAATCTTTAAACCAAATGCATAGCAAAACAATATAATTAAATTGCCTGCTTAAAACTCAGTAGAGTTGCGATGAAGTCTTCATGATCTCCCTTGGGATGGCTTCCTGAGTTGTGGTGTTGCTGTGAATATGGATGTGTCCCACCCACTTTCCAATCCAGCCTCTTTCAGTGGGTATGGGACCCAGACGGTACTGTTATAATGTTCTCTTATTTGTCTTATAAAAATGGATCATACTGAGGTCTCAAACTGAACAAAAGCTCATAAGAGAGATATCCTGGTATTTTGAACTAGATACAAAAACAATTTGGAAGCCTGAGGATCAGGTTCAAAACCAATCTCTCTCTCTCTCTCTCTCTCTCTCACACACACACACACACACAGAGCCATCAGTTGCTTCCACTTCTTATATTATATTCAGGTTGCAAATGCCTTTTAAGCTCCCTAAGAGATCATTAGAATCCATTAATCAGTGGTGGCCAACTTCTCCAGGCTGCCCCAGAGAGATTTTTCTCCAAACTGGAAGTGAATGGGACAATTTTCATTTCTGATTGTGGAAAAGGGTCCTCTTAAAAGTAAAATACACTAGGACACACCAAATGTGGCAACCCCCCCCCTCTCCCCAAGAGTACTAAAATGGGGAAAATTCAATAATAAAATAAAGCATTCCCCACATCTACCAGCTTATAACTCTATTGAAAAAAGAGATCAGATTAGTCTGGTATGACTTGCTTTTGATACATCTGTGTTGGACTATTAACGATGAAAGCATTTGTTTCTAAGTGTTTGCAGACCACTTCCTTAACTATCTTTTCCAGAATCTTGTCTGGTATCGACATAAGGCTGATCGGATTGTAATTGTTTGAGTTGTCTTTTTTTCCCTTCTTGAAGACAGGGACCACATTTGCCCTCCTCCATAACTACCACCATCACTGCCACCACCATTCACAGTGCAGTCCCATCTCCAATGGCCAGTGGGAGAACTGTGTCAGACACTTTGAAAGAGTGACATCAGGTTATTCAGGTGGGCTTTGAATGACTGACTGGCAAATGAGGAATTGGATTTTAATAATGTAATATGTTAAAGTGGTAACCAATGGACCAGTGTCATGAACTTTGGCTACTATTTCAGAGTGAGTTACAAGGATCGGCTGTTATGAATGGGAAAGAAATATAGCATCAATCACTGGCACAGTGGGAAAAATCCACTATGGGTATAATTGGCCATGCACCTTTTTCTGAGAAAAAAAAATTGATTGGGAACAAATTCCCACTGAGTCAAGCATCAGAACAAATTAGGGGGTACAATGCATTCTGAGGATGTTTGCAGACAGAGGTGTAATAAAGCAACTACTTATCTAACGGGAGGCTATTTATTTTGCCTCAGTTAAGTCAACTGGAGCATTTATTGAGGAATGTAAAGCAGAATGTAGCTAGGATCATACAGTGGCTTGAAAAATAAAGCAAAATGTGTTCCCCATCCAGACAGAGATGACCTCAGTGACAAAAAGCTGAAAGCTTCAGAGTAAACTAGAATTATTTTATTTTTCCAACTAGCCTTCTGTGATCATGCTGCTCAGCTTCTAGTCAGCCAGCTCACTAAATGAGCCCTTAAAATGGAAAAATCTGAAACTATAATAGAATAATCTCATTACAAAAACTTTCCTTTTACTAAAAAAATATTATTTTCCCACGTGCCTAATTCTTCATTCTACCACTCAATTATCTTTGAAGGAGACTACTGACCTATGGAGACCCTATTTAAATTTCAATACAGTTTGGAAAGGATTTTTAAATTGTATGGATTATTTATGAAGTTTGCTTTGACCTGAAGTTTCATCCTTGGTGACCCTGAACAACCATAAAGACTTTTAAAAATCTGTATAAGCAGCAGCAAACTGCAACTAGAATTTGGATGGCTTTTAATGTTGGAGGAAAAATGTAAGTATTTGCTCTCTCTCTCTTCTCAGAAATGGATAACTGCTCAGTAGCAGTCCATGCACATAACAATGCTAATCCAACTCTGTCATTTGTTTCTAATGCCAAATATTCTTGATCATCTCAGGGTAATACAATAAATATCTAAGCAGGCATGCTCAGAAACATGTATACCTTTGATGTGGAATGGGATTTGTTCTATTACAGAAAGTATGAAGTTATGAATTGAAAAGTAAACAACACAAAATACTGTTGTAAACACATTCAGATTTGGAAATGATGAAAGAAATTGTGAAAGACCGTACTGTAATGCCCAACTGTTCATATTTTGTGATCTAGCATTGCAGTCTTGACAATTACCATGAAAACATTGGTGTAGACGTAAAGTAATATGTGGACTATCCGATCATGGTGGCTGAAAATGTCTTGCTAAGGTTGTGAGAAGTACTGCTCACCATTGAGCAACTGTGTAATCTACATGCTGATTTGCTAATATCAACATGAAAACAAATTTTTTCTTAGAAAACAGTCAGTTTACTGAAAACAATAAATGGCATCTGGGTCCAGTGATATTGACTCTGGGATCTTCCCTGGCCTTACAGAAAGCAGAAGTGAGGGACGTGGAAAAGGAGAAGGGGATGCCATTCTTGCTGCTGCCCATGTTCAAGGAAGTGGACAGATGAAAGAAGAGAGATGTTGCTTAAAGGAGAAGAGGATAGAAATAGCAATAAAGACTTGAAGAAAGTGAAAGGGGGGGGGATAGGAAGGGCGATTGGGTCCCTTAACTTCTTTCTGGCTCAATGGCTGTAATGTGCATGTGCACACACGCGCACACACAGCAAGTTTGCAAAGAGCCATGAATTGGGCTGGAAGTGAGGGAAAGGTATCTAATGCCAGGTGATGGTGGACAGCTGGCAAAGAGATCTCTGTCTCATACACACACATGGTTCTCCTTCTTGGATAACTAGAAAACCAGAGGGCAGCAGAGGTAGCATATGGGGGTTGGGATGGGTGCAGCAGCTCCATTCTGGATGGATGCCACAAACTCACTGCAGGAGACTAATGGTCAAGAAATCCATCCCTGGGGAGACAGCAACAAGGTAGGTAGTGATGAAACGAAAAGCAGCAGCAGGTAGAGATACACTTTCTGCTCATCCACCCTCCTCGGGCTTGCCTCGCTGGTTCTACATCTGGCACACTGCTGCCTGTCCAGCCCCCCTTCCCCTAATGCCGTGATCTGTGTCTTATTTTGTGGAAAGGGAAAAGTTTGAGACCACCATTGCTGCCGCTGGCATACCTTTTCCAGCCAGGAGTCCTGTTAGACCCAGAAGCTCCCTACCCCTGCCAACTGCTGTTAGCAGGAGCTCTCGGCTCCACAGCTGACCTCCTGCAAGCCTTTGCTGGTTTCTTTCATGTGGTTGCACTCTTGTGGAGAGAAGGGCTGAGCAGTTTTCAAGACTTTGCAGCCCCGCTGTGGTAATAACACATTCTTCTGGGGGTCTGGGACCTAAGAATCACTGTTCTACACTGTTTACTGCTTAAAAATTATTTTGAATAATAAGAGGCTTAGAAATACATATTTAAAGAAAGGAACAAATGTAAGATATATAGATTGACAGAGAAACAAACAAATGAAACAAAGGCAAATATGTGTTTGCCAAGAAATTCCCAACCCTACAGAAATTGCTTGTATGCAGAGTTCAGTAAGACCCTGGGAAAGATGACTATTTACTCTACAAAATA